TATAGATAGGGGCTCTGGGGCAAGTGATGCTCTGTCTTCTTGGTGCTTGGGGGGGGTCAACAGTGGGAGGGCTTCTAATGTCCTGGCCCCACTGGTGGACCTCCTGATGGCACTGGTATTTCTGGCCACTGTGTGACAGAGTGTTGGACTGGATGGGCCTTTGGCCTGATCCAACATTGGCGTCTCTTATGTTTATATGAATCCCCACTGCCATGGAAGCTTGGGGGGGGGGCAACAGTGGGAGGGCTTCTGGAGTTCTGGACCTCCTTGTGGCCCCTGGGTTTTGGCCACTGTGTGACACAGTGTTGGACTGGATGGGCCTTTGGCCTGATCCAACATGGCTTCTCGTATATCCTTAAGCTCACTGGGTGACCTTGGGCTAGTAGCACTCTCTCAACCAGACCTACTTCATAGGGTTTTTGTGAGGGCAAAATGGAAAGGGAATGATGCAAGCCGCTTTGGTTCCCCATGGGGGAGGAAGGGGTGGGTATAAGTGACGTAAATAAATAGTTTTTGCTGCAACAGGCTTACATGGCTACTTGTCTGGAAGTAATACATACCTTCTCTCCTCGCTCATTGAGGCAAACAACCCATCTCTCAGGATGTGGCCATTCCAACGTTTAGCAACCCCCAGAGAGTGAAAGTAAGCCACTACGGAATACCAGTAAGAATGTGGCCCAAATGATATCTCCTACTGCTAAGCAGGTCTGCGTCTGCTCAGTATCAGAATGGGAGATGGGCCTCTTGCACCTCAGTTTCCAGGAAAGGTCAGCTATTAAACTCTCTGTTCCGCCACCCTCTGCCAAGGACTTTGCACTGTTATCTTACCAAAAATTTATTTGGTTTCACTTTGAAAGGCTCGCCCTGAAATAAGATAAAAGAAGGCAGGAGGTATTCTGACGGACACAGACATTGGGTACAACCCTTTTTGCTTTGAAACGCAATATATATCAGATCTTAGTGTCCCGAAGAGTCAGACTTGACTGTGCGACAGAACAATAAAGTGTCTTGAAGCATCGGGGAAGGACTGTGGCTCAGCGGAAGAGCCTCCGCTTTACATGCAGAAGGTCCCAGGTTCAAGCCCCACCTCTCCAGCTAAAAGGATCTGGCTGTAGGTGATGTGAAAGACCTCTGCCTAAGACCCTGGAGAGCAGCTGCCGGCCTGAGAAGGCAATACTGACCCTGCTGGACCGATGGTCTGATCCAGTATAAGGCAGCTTCGTGTGTGCGTGAAATAATGCCGGAAACCTGGTTTTCAGAGAACATTTTATTGAGTTTATGAATTTTTTAAAATGCGTATCGATATTCGAAGAAAAATTAAGAAAGAAAAAAAGATAATAATAAAATGAAAAGAAAAAAAAGCAATGGGGATGGAGAGAACAAAGCAAGCTACACAGAGGCCAAGATTGGACACTAAAAGAGTTTTAAAAGAGTTCAGATCCTCCAGTAACAAGTCCGCCCTAATTCTGACAAAGGAGAGAATGACCCCAATATCTACAAAATAAATAATATGTACTGCAAGCCAAGGCTGCGTACCCAAGTCAAAATGCCAACTGGAGAAGAAGAGAGAGCACTCATTTCCCACAGTGGAAAGTAATTCATCTAAGCCAGTTCTAGTCTTGGACCAGCCCGTCTCTCAGGGCCAACTTTTACCCCCCCTGGCCCCAGCAGCCCTTTTATCTCCTCTCCCCATCATCAGCTTGGAGTCGAACTTATGTCACACATCGGTAAATCTCATGCTGGCTGTGGGCCATCTTGGAGCGCTGATCAGTTGATTGTGGCCAGCTGGGTGTCTACCTCAGGCACATTCCTGCCAGTCACAGTTTCTTCATAGCTTATTCCATAGTGTAGAATTCATTTTTAAAAAGCCTTAGGTTACATAAGGAGTCCACTTAGGGGTCACCAACAGAGGTCCTGCTTGGCAGCTCCAATGCCGCCACCCCCGTCTGCCTCCAACCGCATTGCAGAAATAAATATTTCAGGCAAAGGCAGGGATACAACAGGCCTCATAACCCTGACAGGCCTTGTTTCACTAGCCTCGAATCTTTCAAGCATATCTTTCTCCCCTCCTGGAGGCCTGAAAATTCTTCTTTATTGGTAATGATGGAGGAAGAAGTTATCACATAGGGCTGTTGCTAGGCAACAAGATACTGGGGATGGCAGGTGTCCTGTAGCTAAGAAACTACCACACACTCTTGAACTTCTTTTTTGCTGCCATAAAACAGCATGGAGGATGGCTAGAATTGTGAGGGCTCAGGAAAGAAGGAGGAAAATTATTTATTTCATTTTGTTCTGAGGCCTTTCTTTCCATTTTTCCCAATGGAAACATCAGAAAATTTGGGGGAGCACTGAAAAGAAACTCATAGGAATATTTTTTTTTTAGTAAAATGCTTCTTAAGGCAAGACTTTTCACACTCAAAATGAAGAGCATGAATAAATTTGAGGATTTATTCCATTTTTCCAATGGAAGAATTGAGGAATGGGGGGCACTGGGGGAAAAGCTCTTATACTACAATCATGTACAATGTTTTCAAGATATTGTTTTCTGTTTAAATATAAATAATTCTGATACCAATGCTCTAATATGCTTAATTATTGAAAATTTCAGTGTTTCCAATATTTTAATGATTTCGCTTATTATCTAGACATATTCTGGCAGTTCTGCCTATTCTAACTCTATGAGCAAGTTTATTGAAGTAATATCCTGTTTTTTGTTTACCACAGAATTTGTTTTCTACCCTCAAATGGTATTTTATCTTATCTATCCGATGGCACAAATTAAAGATATATGTGATAGGGTAAGCATAGGATGCAGCAGTTTACACTTCTTTCCCAAGGGTAAACTTGCAATTTTTTCTTACAGAAAATGAAGGTATTAAGACTTTAAATCCCATAAATATGTCAGATGTTACAATTTCATATGCTAAGTTACATATGATGATTTTATGTTGTTCAATCAGTAAAACAATGGAGGCCCAGGTGGCAGCCACTGTCAAGTCAGCCTTTTACCATCTTCGGTTGGCACGGCAGTTGGACCCTTACCTTGACCGCGATGACCTGGCCACAGTGATCCATGCGACGGTCACCTCGAGGCTAGACTACTGCAACGCTCTCTACATGGGGCTGCCTTTGTCGCAAATCCGAAGGCTGCAGCTGGTGCAAAATGCTGCAGCCAGGCTGTTGATGGGTCTGTCTAGGAGGGACCATATTCAGCCTGTGCTGAAAGCGCTGCACTGGCTGCCAATAGCGTACCGGATCCGCTTCAAAGTGCTGGTTCTTACCTATAAAGCCCTATATGGCCAGGATCCAGCCTACCTGAGGGACCGCCGTTCCCCACGTTCCCCTAAGACCACTACGGTCGGGGGCCCAAAACTTGCTGGTCATCCCGGGCCCCAAGGACATCAAATTAGCTGCGACCAGGGCCAGGGCTTTTTCGGTGGCAGCTCCTACCTGGTGGAACGAGCTCCCGGGTGAGATCCGGGCCCTGCGGGACCTCATGCAGTTCCGCAGGGCCTGCAAGACGGAGCTCTTCCGCCAGGCCTTTGAGTAGGAGCCGCCGCCCCACTATACCACCACCGTCATGGTATCTTAAGGATGCACGGACGAGGCCCTGATGAAGATCCTGGAATAGGTAAAGAAGATCTGATAAGCTGTCACCATTCATGGGAGTACCACCTGGAACTGTGTTGATTACAGGGCTATTTTCGGGCAGGAACGCACAGGAACGGAATTCCGGCTGGCTACCAAGTTGGCCACGCCCAGCAGGAACTCATAATAGGCCAAACCCAACATCAGAAACTCATTAGGATTGGCTACATTAGGGGTTTGTGGCCTAACATGCAAAGGAGTTCCTGCTATAAAAAAGCCCTGGGTTTTGACAACAAACAAGGTAAACAGAATAAGAAGCAAAAGGTGGGTGTGGCTGGATGAGCACACTTCTGGTAACATGGGGATGTGGCCTATTATGCCAATGAGCTGTGCTGTCAGGGGTGTGGCCTAATATGCTAATGTGTTTCTGCTGTTAGGTGTGGCCTATTATGCTAATAAGTTCCTGCTGGGCTTTTTCTACAAAAAAAGCCCTGGTTGATTCCATCTTGGATTATGATATCAGTGACTGAGCACCGTTGTTGTTTTTAAGGGTTAGTTGTTCTTATTATGTTTTAGATGTTTATTTATGACACGGCTGATTACCTTGCCCTTGTGAGCCACCCTGAGCCCATTGGGGAGGGCGGGATACAAATGTGAAAAATATGGGGGGGACACATTTTAAAAAATCATTTCCCCCCATGGCTTCAAAATTTCCAGAAATTTTACTTCTCCACAGAGGGCTAAGAAAGAGATACAGAAGAGAAGGAAAGGGGAGGAACTGGAAAACAATGTCAGGAAGCAGTTGATGGGGGAGGGGGGGGGGGGGGGCCCTCTCCTCATATCCTCCTTTTTCTTTCTTTTTCTCTTTTTTTTTGCAGTTCAACCACAGCTGACCCCACAGGGTTTTCAAGGCAAGACGGGAGCAGAGGTGGTTTGCTATTGCCTGCCTCTGCATAGCGACCCTGGACTTCCTTGGTGGTCTCCCATCCAAGTACTAACCAAGGCTGACCCTGCTGAGCTTCCAAGATCTGATGAGATCAGGCTAACCTGGGCCTTCAAGATCAGGAGAACATCCTTGTTGCCTCCTCAAAAGTAAGTTGCTGCCTACAGTGCTACAGCTGCAGTTTCCTCAACAAAAGAAGTCTGAGGTCAGCTGGGCCTCATTTCCTTTATGCTAGTTTCTCAATTACAAGACAATGCAGCCTTTGTGTGGGATGGGGTGGGGAAGTGCTTTCCCACATTTTAATTCCATTGATCTCTTCTTCCTCTGCTTCTGGATAGTCCTATGAAATGTCCGATATCACGATTCACATGCTGGGGACAATTTTTCTGGATTCTCTGTGCTCAATGAGAAAATCTTCCTGTACTTGGTGCATATAAAGACTTTAGGCCCTGGTGGCTTCGCTGATGGCGAATCAGGGCCAATTTAGCCTTGAAGTAGCTCCCACACTCTGTACAGACATACGGCTTTTCGATGGTGTGCATTTGCTCGTGAGCAACGAGCTGGGATCTCTCCCGGTAGCACTTCCCGCAATTTAAACACTTATAAGGTCTCTCGCCTGTGTGGGACCTCTCGTGTGCTATCAGACTGGACCGCTGGATGAAACCCTTACCACACTGGAGGCAAATGTGTGGTTTTTCTCCTGTGTGGGTTCGCTCGTGCTTGTTAAGACTTGAGCGGACGCTGAAGCTCTTCTCACAGTACATGCACTGGTACGGCTTCTCGCCCGTGTGAATCCGCTCGTGGGCGATCAGCTCTGAGCTCCAATTGAAACCCTTCCCGCACTCCAGGCATTTATGTGGCTTCTCACCTGTGTGGGTCCGGATATGAGCCATGAGGTGAGACTTCTGGCTGAAGCTTTTTGTGCACTCAGAGCAAGTGTATGGCTTCTCTCCCGTGTGGATGATCTGGTGCCTTATGAGGTCCGCACTCAAACTGAACCCTTTCCCACACGTGAGGCATTTGTAGGGTTTCTCTCCCCGATGACTCTTCTCGTGCAGGATGAGGGTGCTCTTCTGGCTCAAACGCTTCCCACACTCTGAACAAGTGTATGGTTTCTCTCCTGTGTGGCTTCCCTCATGGATGAGGAGGCTTGAACGCTGGTTATAACTCTTCTCACACAACAGGCATTTGTAGGGTTTTTCACCCGTATGGGTCCTCTCGTGCAGCTGAAGGTGGGAGTTCTGGCGAAACCGCATATCACAATATGAGCATTTGTATGGCTTCTCTCCCGTGTGGGTTCTCTCATGCGTGTTCAGGGTCGACCGCTTCCCAAAGCACTTCCCACATTCATTACACTTGTATGGTCTCTCAGCCATTGGGGGTTTCTCTGGCCCCCCAAGCTGAGAGCTCTGGCTCAGACTGCCCCCCAAGTTCTTTGAGATCTCTTGGTTCTTTTTCTCAGGAAAGCTCTGCTGGACCGCAAACTCAGCGAAGTCAAAGAAGCCTCCTCCGAAAGGAATCGAGATTACCCCTCTGTCCTCCAATAGGTCACTCTTGGAGAAATACACCTGGCCTTCGGCTCTGAAGAGGCTGACTTCGTCTCCCCCCCACATTATCCGGTTCAGCTGCAGATGATCCGAGCTTCCCAAGGAAGGCTCCCCTTCTTTGTTCTCCCCTAGCCAGTCAGCTGTAGAAATAAAGAGAACTGAGATATAGGCCATTCAAAAGGAGAGAATGCACATACCACACACAGTCTAGATTGCTAGAGGTGGAAAGTAAACATCTTCTATGCCAAAGATCCCCAACCTTTTTGAGCCTGTGGGGAACCTTTGGAATTCTGACAAAGTGTGGTGAGTTCAACAACATTATAGCTACCGTAGGAAGCTTAGCCAACTATAAGATGGCTGCCGCAGGAGGCTGTCAACCACAAAATGGCTGCCACAGGAGGCTGAGCCAACCACAAAATGGCTGCCACAGGAGGCTGAGCCAACCACAAAATGTCAGGGAGTGAGGTTATCATAACTCTAACTATAACTCTTCAACAATTCAGGTAGAAGGTCTGCTTAACAGTATACCTTTTTACATAAAGGCACAGCTCACCTTCAGTCCTGCTGTGAAGAGCCTTTTGTTGTGATGGCAGCTGCTGTTGAAGCAATTTTTTTAAAAAAATCACAGCCAATCAGATCTCCAATGGCTAATCAGAAGCCCTACTGGGCAAAAGCCCCAACTGGCCTCTCTCGCTTTCTAAAACACTTGGCGGGCACCAGGAAAGATATTAGTAGGTGCCATGGTGCCCACAGGTACCATGTTGAGGACCCTGTTCCATATTGTGTTCGGTTTCCAATAGAGGTGACCTAGACCAAGTATGCCTTTATTTTAATAACTAAATCTAAACTAAAATTTAGACTGTATAGTTTGTAACAGTAAAGTCTGGTCTACACATGCAACCAAATGAGGTGGTAGAACCCCACTGTACCACTTCAGATGGAGATAAAATATTCCGCTTTTAAATGCATTCCCCTTACTTAAAAAAAAGTCCCTAAAAGAAGCAAACTAGCATATCACAGAGAAGGATTTTGCATACTAGCTTTCTACTTGCAGGGAGCTTCCCCACAGGGTAGAATTTAAATTTTAAAAATGTGATTCCTCACCTGCAGCCTGAAAAGAGAAATCCATGCTACCCCCTGGGGACTCCACCACCTCATTCTGCTTGCATTACAAAAGTCAGGTCAAAAGGATAACAGAAGGCATGCAACAGCTGAGAAGCAATGAAAGCCCTGCATATTCCCATCATGAAGATTTGGTATCCTTCCAGGTTCAGATATACATATGTGTCTACAGTAGGCCCACCTTGACTTTATAAAAGCATTTCACTCATTCTAAGAAAATATTCATAGGAATTTTCTTTAGTATCCTCCCCAAATTTCTGATTTTTCCATTGGAAAAATGGCGGGAGAGACCTCAGGAGAAAAACCCCTTTTCCTGAATTTTCCTGGCTTTTCCCTAGGGCTTCATATCTCTCTGTTTGCCTAGTAGTTTTAGAACTTCATATCTCATTCCCTAAGTTTGGCTCAGTTCTTCATACCCCCATCCCAAAAAGAACAGAACTGGATACGTTCCCCACATTTTCCACAGTAAAAACAGCCACAGTGAATTCATTCCGTTTCTCCCCTTCTTCCTTAACCAATCGTTTTGTTCCGTTGTCACTGTCAAAAGCGAGGCCATCTTAGAGGGAAATTGCAGCTAAACTTCCCTTTTGGTGCCCCCTGACTTGTTTGCAGGTGTCGGCCGCCCCAACAGAGAGGCGGTTACCGGCCAAGGTAATCTCTCAAGCCTGTTGATTAACTCACATAGTTCAGCTGCGAATCTGGTACGGGAGGGAGCAGCCTGCTCCTGTCCAGACTATACCATGGAGACAGCCCTGTGATTGGTTGCAGAAAGTCAGGCAGTTACGGCCTGCTCTTTCTAAAAAGTATAGCTCATGATGGGGCGATAAACCCTTTTCCTTTTGCACTTCTTATTTTCCTCCTTACTCCATCCATACTGCCTGAAGACTATCGCTGCATGCTCTGGAACACCCTATTTTAGCTATAAGAAACCAACAGAGCTGGGGGAAATGCAGAGGAGGGGCAACCAAGATGATTAGGGGGTTGGAGCACCTTCCCTATGAGGAAAGGGTGAAGAGTCTGGGACTTTTCAGTTTAGACAAGAGACGGCTTTTTACTTGCTTTATCGTCAACTTGTGTTTGTTTTGCCAGAACCCGTGCTCCTTTCTGTTCACCTCAATAATGAACACTTAAGGAAGGCTTTTTACCTTTTATGGCTTCCTTCTCACGGTGGTCCCTTTCCTGACTTGAGACGTGGTACAGTCTATCTGGGCCTCAATTTGTGGAGTTTTAAATAGTTTCCCGGCACCACAAGGGAACTGACTCTCTTAATTCTCCTTTTTAACTTCCTTCTGACCACGCTCCTCATTTCTGCAAATCCATATTGGTTGTTCTGGACTTACTTGGGGCAATGTGAGGGCACTGTGGACACTGTTCCCAGTTTGCATGAGAACATCTACATCTTGCACCAGTAAGCCATGTTCAGAATGTAGAGTCGCTTACACCTTAGTCGGCTCCATGACCAACTGCTCCAATGCAGTTTGGTGTAGTGGTTAGGAATGCGGACTCTAATCTGGGAGAACTGCGTCTGATTCCCCACTCCTCCACTTGCAGCTGCTGGATGGCCTTGGGCAAGCCATAGTCCTGTCAGAGGTGTCCCTGAAAAGAGCAGTTTCTGTCAGAGCTCTCTCAGCCCCACCTACCTCACAGGGTGTCTGTTCTGGGGAGGGGAAGGGGAAGGAGGGGCTGTGGCTTTGGGAAGAAGAAGAGGAGGAGGAGGAGATTGGATTTATACCCCGCCCTTCACTGCCCAAAAGAGTCTCAGAGCATTTTACAATCTCCTTTCCCTTCCCCTCCCCCACAACGGACACCCTGTGAGGTAGGTGGGGCTGAGAGAGCTCTTTTGAGAACTGCTCGTGAGAGAACAGCTTTGTGAGAACTATGGCTTGCCCAAGGTTACCCAGCTGGCTGCATGTGGAGGAGTGGGGAATCAAACCCGGTTCTCCCAGATTAGAGTCCGCGCTCCTAACCACTACAGCAAACTGGTCCCAGGTACAATCCCTGGCATCTCCAGTTAAACGGATCAGATAGGAGGTGATGCGAAAGACCTCAGCATGATACCCTGGAGAGCCACTGCCGGTCTGAGTAGACAATACTGACTTCGATGGACTAATTCAGTATAAGGCAGCCTCATGGGTTCCCATCAGTCTCAGCTGCACAAGCAAAGGATTATGGGAGAGCCACCGTACACCTTTCCTGGCGCCTGCCAAATGGTTTTAGAAAGCAGGTGGGGCTTCTGCACAGCAAGGCTTCTGACTGACCATTAGAGAACTGACTGGCTGTGTGGCTTTTTACAATTTTTGCTTTGGCAGCAGCTGCCACCACAGCACAAGAATCTTCACTGCGTGACTGCAAGTCAGCTGTGACAGCTGCTTTGTGGCTGGGTCCACCTCTCATGGCAGCCATTTTGTGGCTGCACTCATCATGCTCATCCAAAGGTGCCCACAGCCACAAAAAGATTGGGGATCCCTGGACTGGAGAATAAGAGAGCGGCTCATTCACTGAGGGCATGATCCATCTCTTCCAACCGCAGCCTTCTCTGCTGACAAATTTCTCCTCAGAGCGTGAGTTTACTTGTTTATTTAGTGCATTCATTTGGAGTCACGCAAACACCTGGAGATAGGGAAGTTATGTGACGTGCTCTGTGAAAAATGAAAGCTTGTCCAGAAATCAAAAGAGGAGCCCAGGAAGATGCTCCCCCTTCCCATCTCTTCCTCAGTCATGATAAAAGTGGAAAGATCCTTACCAAGAGAGGCCACAGTCTCGTAATTCTCCTGCATGACTTCCCAGTACAGAGCTCTCTGGGCCGGATCCAGCAGAGCCCATTCCTCCTCCGTGAAGAACACGGCCACCTCCTCGAAGGACATTGGTGGCCCCTGAAAGAGGGAAACGATTTGCCATTGGATCATGTCTTTCTATACCTGATCAAATTCTCAAATCATACAGCGAAAAAACAAATGTTCCCACAGTCCATCACAGGCTCATAAAACACTCTAATTAAGGTGCTCAGGTGTCTTCAGTCATCAAAAACAGAAGCCACCGAGCCACAACACTGATATCCAAAGACAGCGGTCCCGATGAAGTTCTCCTACTGGCATGCTACCAATGTTGTTCTACATTTTGCCTGACAAGGCTTTTTCAAGTAGGATATCTCTTACTTTCTCAAAGCAGGATATCACTGAAACCAAAACTCAAGCATATTCTTCTAAAATACCTCTAGAGCAGTTACACAGTTGTTTTGCTGGTTACATTTTCACTGCGCGTCCCACTGTGTTTTGTAATCTTTTGGGCATAGAGCAGGGGTCACTGGGGTGTGTGAATTTCCTGCATTGTGCAGGGGGTTGGACTAGATGACCCTGGAGATCCCTTCCAACTCTATGATTCTATGATTTAGCAAAGACAGAATCCCCTAGGCCAGGGGTGTCAAACTCATTTGTTACAAAGGGTCACTTTG